TAGGTACGTGGGGGGGGGGGTAGCAAATAAAACGATAACCAAAACAAAACGATAATGTGTAACATAGGATAGGAAAAGTGGCCACAGGGTTTTCACAGGAGCCCAGGTTGTCTTCACAACCAAGTCGCAGGGTTCTAGACCAATGTATACTTCACCTCAAGTGCGTAAATGGAATCTCTACCCTAAACCCTAAACCTTACACCCTAATCCCTAAACCCTAAACCCTAATCCCACGCTGGCACATGGGACACATGGCAGGGACCCTACCCTCAAAGGAATTTGGGTTGGAAGAGCGATACGGAAAGAGGAGCCTGGCCAGGCGGTACCACATGCACCTTCAAAAGACTCTGCGGGTGCTCTTCAACACCCGGCTAGGCGACTATGGGTCGGTGGATTTGGAGCAGGATCCTAATGAATTTGAGCACTAAACTGGTCTTGGCATCTTGTGAATGAATACTTTTTCTTTGGAAGGCTGTGAGGAAGAGAAGGGCCACATCGTTAGAGCTTACATTGTGAATTTCCCCTTTGAATTTCTGCAGCTCTGGGGTGCGTGATACCAGGAGCGCTCAATAGACTGCAGAAACTACCTGCATTCAATCAAAGTTCATGCCAAATCTAAAAGTTGATCTAGAACGGCAAAGACTGCTTGCACGATTTCATGGGTTACAGCCAAACTGCCCTTGCGTCCTGTCCAAAATTCAGGGCCCAGTTTCAAACAGCTGCTTCATTTGGGATGGATCTGTTGTATTTGTGCATGTGCTTTCTGCTCATGTTTCAAAAACCATTGCCATAGCAGCAAAGGATTCAGGCTTTCAATCCTAAACCCTAAACTAAACCCTAAACCCTAGACCCTACCCTAAACCCTTATAATCATAATTGGTGGGGGCTAGCTGGTTCAGGGATGCACTCAGATGTGAGAGGTAGGACAAGCCTAGCAGATAAGTTAACATATTTTCAATATCGGGGTCATATTAGGATACTAAGGGTTATTTAGGGATTATAAAGAGGTTATATTGGGATAATGGAAAAGAAAATGGAAACTACTAAGGGTTATATAGGGATTATAAAGGGGTTATATTGGGATACTGGAAAAGAAAATGGAAACTGCTATAGTATCTTGGGGTTATATTGGCATAACGGATAAGAAAATGGAAGCCATCATATTACATTGGGGTAATGGTGGGGCTTTATTGGTGACTTACCAAAAACTCAAGGATAATAGCATCCAAGTAGTAACCTGCCCTGATCCGAAGGCATGTGGAGCCCGAAGTGATCCTTTCACATTCCCAGCGGTGTGAGATCTGTTGAGCCTGGAGGGATGCCTGGCAGGGATAGTGGAAGAAGAAGATGGAACAAATTCTACAGTATATTGGGGTAGTATTGGGCTTCTATTGGGATAATGGAAAAGGAAATGGAAACCACTATAGTAGGTTTGGATGGTATGGGTGGATGACCTTTAACCTTGCGCGAGATATATCAATATGTATATAACAGCTGAGGTAAAGGGTTTTGGGTGTGGGGCTATGCAATTATACACATCACCCTATACTAAAAAGACAAGATTAACTCCTTGAGGAAACACAACAGCTAGGCAATCTTGCTCATGGGGAATGCAATTCTACGTCTTTCTAGATTTCTTTCTGTCCCCTACCGCAAGTACTTACTAGCAGACTTACATCCAACTCTTCTTACTCAGAGATGTTAGCTTTGGAAGGGGATGAATTACCCTAGCAGCTTCTTCTAGTTTGTTGCCCTTGGCCGCTTCCCCAAACTCTGTGTAGAACTCATCACATCTTCAGTTACCATCACAGGGCATATTGTGGGCTGCTGTGACTATGTCAGCATGCTTTTTTTTGCGGGGCTTGGAAGGCTGCCCTCCGATGGCTGTGTACAAAGATGGTCCCTGTCCATCAATGGGCTGGGGTGCGGAGGTCGTGTAGTAAGAGGAGCTGTGATAAGCTGGCCCTAGAAGGGGAGCAAAGCGCTGCTGGGAGAGAGCTTTCTTTCACAGCCGGAATGAAGGTGATTCCTGCCAAACCACCCCAAGACCCAGCAGGAGGTGATGATGGGTTGGGACGCTGCTGGCCTGGCCATGTGCAGATAGGGAAGCTACTACAGTATATTGGGGTTATATAGGGATAATGGAAAAGAAAATGGAAACTACTATAGTATATTGGGGTTATATAGGGACCCTACATGGTAACCAATCTTCAGCTGAAATGGATAGAGTTTATAAGCACGCATCATGCCCTTAGCAGCGGAGATCTAAAGCTCCCTGTATGCCATTATGCGCATTGTCCATTCCAAGACGAGGTTCTAAGTTGTGCACTCCAAAACCAAGTTGAATTGCCTCCATCCTTGAAACCGCTTGGAGGCTGCGCATGGTAGTGGTATGAAGGAATACTATTTCCAGCGTCCGCCCTGGTTGAAACCCCGGCAGACACGACATGTTAGAGGTCCGTCAATAGTTGTTGATTGGCGTTTTCGATGTGACCTTTGAGTTTCTGACGAAGTCAATTCTTGAAAAAAAAGTACAGCCCTCAATATGATCCCTATCATAGACTNNGGGTGGGGGCAGGACCCAATGTTTTCTCAAGTATGCAGGTTTTAAGGTCTGGAAGCTCCTTGAATACACCGCCGCCACCGCCTCCCCGCTAATGCTTGCAGTTCGGAGGATCACGAGAGGCACCGCAAACAATCAGCTCCTGCAACATACTTAGATAATTTCCTGACAAGAAACCCAGCCGTAATTGTAAACGCTAGCGCGCGCCCGCCTCGGCTGGCGGGGCTTCCCACTGTAGGAACATGTAATTATAGATATGCAGGTATTTAAGTTAGGTATATGGATACAGTCATATGCCTAATACAT